CCCCAAAACCCCAAAACCCCAAAACCCCAAAACCCCTGAGGTTCCCAGAATCATTGAAAACATATAATTCACAAAGTCTAGAAACTGTAGTTAGCACATTTTATAATAAATTCTTAAATTTCACCTAAAGATGGGTTCATTTATAATTTTTGAAAATTAGTGCTTATAGCAAGATCTAAGATATTGTCTTTTTATTTTTGCTCCTTCTCAGTTTAAGGCGAGGATTTACTTCTTCAACTTGAAGAGTATGAGAGTTTAGCTGGCTTTGCATAGAGTTTATTTTAGTTTTGAGACTTATTTTCTGGTTATTGCTCAGATTACTAGTGTAGAGGCTGACTTTCATCGACCTTAAACAGATGGCTGATTGGATCATTTCTTCAACTTCTATACTCCAAAGATTTAGAAGAAGCATTAAAAACATGATATGGATCCTGGCTAAGTTCTGGGAGCGGGTGATAAACTCTAGAAAATATTTGCAAGCTGATATATTGGTGTAAAACTCATTTATTCTAGTCAAGTAATTTGGAGATTAGACCATCATTACGGTTATATTTTGATTAACCTACCTCTGGTTTTTCTATTTAAATTTTTTTATCTGATCCTCTAAGACTCTCTTTTCCTCTCTTAAAGCATCATGCTCTTCTAGTATGTCATTCTTTTTCTTTTCAAGAACTTTGAGCTTATTTTTAGATTTAATAAAGAAATGCTCTAGAATAAATTGAACATGAACAAATTTTCCAAAATATGCACGAGAAAAATCCAAATTTGTTTGAGAATTAAGTGATAAATTTTGTATATTTAGTACTAACCTACCTCCATTTTGCAGCTTTTGCAACCTCTCTGTGTCACTTGATTTTGCTACATAAGATATTAAATTTTGATAAGAAGAATAACAAAATTTCCAACATTTCTTTGTATTCAGCCAAATAATACTTTCAAAATATAATGCCATCTTTTAGCCAAATGATTACAAATTTAGATAACGTTTTATTCTTTTTGCTGAGAAGAATTATAGAGAAAGCAGGCACTTACACTTTACGACTTTAAGAAACTTCTTCATTAACGATAAAGGGCCTTTTAACTTCAATATCTGGTGCTCTCTAACAGCAATCGCTGTATTGTATCTCCTAACCTTGTTCTCCATTTTCCAGTTATATTAAATAATTCTACATCACCTCCACCTCTAGGGGTTTTGGGGTTTTGGGGTTTTGGGGTTTTGGGG